TTCCAGGTGATGACGCCAGGGAGGCAGTAAAGCATGGTGTGGATGGGATCTTGGTGTCAAATCATGGGGCTCGACAGCTTGATGGGGTGCCAGCCACTGTGAGTTTTGGCAAATGCTGAGATTTGTCTCTGGAGTTTATACTTCTTTCAGAGTCTGACTCTCTATTTCTGCCTCTTCTGTGTTTTTTTATTTGTTTTTTGTTTTTGTTTTTTTGTTTTTTTTTTTTTTGAGCGTTTTTTTGCTATAGGGCGCCTGCGCTCGCCAGACAGAGAGAGACATAGAGACAGAAAGCGAGAAATCACCCCCCAGGGGGGATGGTCACGCCACAATCCCTTCTCCTCCATTCTCCTCTCGGGATCCTGGGCACGCACGCACACGCGCCCGGCGTGAGTTCTAAGCCACCGGGTCTGGGACGTGAACCGCGGTCAACTACGTGGGAATCCAGTGACATAGCCATTACACCAACTGCTGGTTCCCTTCTGTGTGTGCTTTTGTGTGATCATTCAAGGTGAAACATGTTTGACTGTGTGAGATGTTGGTTTTGAAGTTTAGTGGTATATAACTACCTAATTTAGCTGATACATGTAATGGGTCATCAGGGAAGTCGTGACATATTTTTCAGTGTAAAAATGCATCATGTCTTTCCCGATGACTATGTATATATATATATATTATATATATAAAATATGCTTTTTTCTTTGAGAGAGTTTTTTAATTAGTTCCCTTACATGCTGTCCACCTGTGGGGACTCAGTCAAGATTCTTGTAGATGAAGCAATGACATTGCAGCTATCTTTATTTTCTTCTCTGTCCCCATGGGGTCCCCTGCTTTCAGTGTGAGCTTAACTGGAACAGTAAGGTGTGCTTAGGAAATAGTTGTTTGTAGTGTCTGGTGGGACTGGGAGAGTTTTTGAACATTATGAGTCATTGGCTATGCAACAAAAAAGTTACGGATTAGCAACGGTGAGTTGTTTTAATTGCTGGAGGGGATTTTCGTGTGTGCACTAGAGAGAGAGAGAGAGAGAGAGAGAGAGAGAGAGAGAAGTAGGCACCTTAATGGGTTATGTTCATGTTTTAATACTTTCCCTCCATTTCTCCACCCCATCAGGATTTGAGCCACACATGCACTTGGTGTGTGTGTTTTTCAGGCTGCTAGGGCCAGTATTTAAACCACAGTCAGCCATGTAGGATCCAAATCCTGATCCATTGCACTTAACCACCGAGCCATGTGCCAGCCCAACGACGAGTCTTACAAATTAGATTTTGTCATGACAAGAGGCAGGAAGACAAATCAGATGGCCTTGATAATTGCCACAGCCAAGGAAAGAGAGAGGAACACCAAGGAGCAGAGAGAATTGCTTTCTGCTCCAAACTTAAACATTTAAAGATGAGTTGGATGACTTCTTTGGTGCATTGGAACTGTAATGTTTTATAATCTGATTTATCATAGGGAAGGTAACCTGACATCATATAACGATATTTATCACAATATATATGTCATGTGAACGAGCTTTCCAGACCACCTCTCTGAATGAGATCATCATAAGCCTGTCCTCTCTCTTTTTTAAAAAGGTTTTTGCCATAGGATGCATGCAGGGAAAGTGAGAAATCACCCCACAGAGGGGATGACCACACCACAATCCCTTCTCCTCCATTCTCCTCATAGGATTTTGGACAGCAAAGCATTTAGCATTTCCTCTCTTTTACTGGAATTGTTTCATGAGAGTTATCATATAAATGGCTGTTACTGGGATGACCAGCTAAATTTATTCAAACAACTGGGAGTAGAATAAATAATTTAGTCAGGTAGTAGTGGATTATTGTGTCACTAAACTAGCTACTTGGGTTAGCTAGATCCCTGGGCCCATTGTGTGGGTTTCGTGGCAGTGTAAATGATGGCAGGGATTACCAGGTGTGCATATTGCACTCAGTTTTTCCGAAAGCACCTAATGGTACAAACCAAACAGATCGCTGTACTCTGTAAGGCTGTGCAGTTGAGATACTTAAAAATCATAAAACTGGGAGTTGTCAGCCATTTCCAACTCAGCTTCACTCCCAAAGACACGTCTCTTTAGGTGTTATTAAGTGTTGCCTGCAGGTAAATAGAGGTGGAAAGCAAAGCCCTCCACTGAGTAGGGTGGAGAAGTTGGTCACAGCTCAAAGCTTTTTCTCAGATTTATGCCTCACTTGTGCATGAAGACATAGACTTAGTGTGTGGGCCAAATTAAGTTTGTTTTCTAAAAATAAAATATAAATCTACTGAAATAAAATCTAACTAAATTTTCAAGGAAAAAATATCTAAATGGTGTGGTTTATTTTCCTCTGGCTGAGGGGATATGGAAACTTATCTCAAAAAGCTTTTTGAGTTGTGGTCTCTGAGGCTGTTTTTAAAAAATGATACGGCCCCGCGCCCCTTGCTATGTGCGAGAGGAGACACTTCCTTGCATTTGTCTCATACTTTAGAGCACACGTAAGAGCCAGGATGACTGGAGAAATGGTGAAGAGTGTTTGCCCCTGTGTGTGTGGTTTATTTTTTATTTTTTAAATTTTGCTAGTGGCAAGTGTACTTATCAGAAAAAGAGAGAGAGAGAGAGAGAGTGATAAAGTGAGAAAACAATGTTGCCAGAAGGATGGCCACACTGTCATCTTGTCTTTTCCATCCTCCTCCTGAGACTATGGGCATGCCAGCATATGTACCCAGTGTGCTCTTCAAGACCTCGGGTTTGGGACTTCAACTGCAGAGTTGGTTATGTGAGATCCAGCCACCTTACCCACCATACCACCAGCTGGCTTCTATCTTTTACTTAAGAATAAGTGAATAAATAAATGAAATAAATATAAGGTTTTTGGCATAGGGCTTGTGTACTCATCCAAGAGGGAAAGAGAGAGGGAAAGTGAGAAATCAGCCCCCAGGGAGTATGGCCAGTACACAATCCCTTCCCCTCTGTTCTCCTCTTGGGAGTTTGGGCAAACACCTACATGCACTTGATGAGGAAGCTGTGGTGTGAACTTTTCAGTAGATGCAAGGAAGGGCTGGCTGCTCCCTGAAGAGCCATAGATAGGGCATGATGT